AAGTAAGAGATGGGTCATCACCGGGGGCGGGGGGAAATCTGTGTAGATCAAAACCCAAGATCAGAACTCATGATGAAGAATTTCCAAACACTGCGCTCATTTATTTTGCTTTTTCTATTGGTGTACTATTTGACTGCTGACAATCACTGGTAGTTTTTACTACTGATATTTAATGATGTTTCCAAGTATTTCCAATGCCTTTAACAAAATATCACATAGAACCTCGTCAAAAACCTTTTGCTGATCTACGGTCAAATAATATCTAGCTGAAGAGTTCACAAACTTTTTTCAATAAATGGCCAGATAGTTGATATTTCAGGCTTTAAAGTCTTTAAATACTCAATTTAGGTGGAGGACAAAAGCAGTCAGATCATATGTAAACAAATGGGTAGAGCTGTGTTCTAATACAACTATTTACAAACACAGGTCACAGAAAAGATTTAGTCCTTGGGCATCAGGTTGTTGACTCCTGATCCAGAACAGTATCTAGATATCAATCTCTCAATACCAAACATATTTTCTATTTGCTTATCACTTCCAATACAGGTTTGAATTTTATTTCTGGGGAAAAAACGTCTGAACTAATACTGCTCACTCTTGAGAAATTATTTTGAAACAATGTTAAAATATTAGTAACATATACTATCTTCAAGTTAATCTTTCTTTTCAGTCACCAACGCACTTCCTATATGACCCATTACATAACGCTTTTAATTGAAATGTTTTGAACTGGTAAAAATTGTCTAAGAAATTGAAAAAAAAGCCTAATTTAACATTTATTACCCTTTTAAAAATGTATTATTCATAGAAAAAAAATACCGTGGGACTTTTCTGCTTAAAAACCTTTAGTTCCTCACCCTAAGGGTTGAGCATACCATACAGGTCATTCATAAATTGGCCTCAATCTACCTCTCAAATTTTATTTCCTATTACTTTTTGTTCACTCTCTCACTGTAAGAATATGACAAATAATACTATATAAAAACTTGCAGGAGATAAATACCAAATTCAGGGCAGTGGTTACTTCTGGAAAGGAGAGAAAAAACTTGGTTAGGGACCCCGGGGGGTTTCAACTATATCTGAGATGATTTTTAAAAAAACGATGATGATAATAAAAAAATACTAAATAAAGATCTGAAGCAAGTATGATAAAATGTTAATATCTGACAAAGCTAAGTGGTAGGTAATAATGAATGCTTTTTCTGTCATTCACTATACTTTTCTATTTAAAATGGGGATTGACAAAATACATTCTGTGGGCCAAATCTGGCCCACTACCTGTTTTTTAAGGCTTGGGGCTAAGAGTAGTTTTACATAATTAAAGTGTTGTTTAAAAAAAAAAAAAAAAAAAGAAGACAAACTGTGACAGAGAATTTGTGACCTTGCAAAGCCTCAGATATTTACATCTGGCCCTTTATAGAAAACATCTGCCAACTCCTGATTTAAAATATTTCATAAGCACAGAAAGACTAAAATAAATAAATAAATAAATAAATAAATAAATAAATAAAGAATAAGCAGGAAGCCAACTGAATCAAGAAAGATGGTTTTATTTTCTTGCATTAACTATTTTCGGGAATTAAACATTTTATATTACCTTTCTCTTTAAATTAGCTTTTCATGAATTATTTTCAACTTTTATCAAAAAGAAATCTCATCAAATTTTATTTTTTTGTGGGGCACCTGGGTGGATCAGTCAGTTAAAGATCTGTCTTTAGCTCAGGTCTCAGAGTCCTGGGATCAAGCCCCACATTGGGCTCTCTGCTCAGTGTGGAGTCTGTTTCTCTTCCCACTCTCCCTCTGTGCTCTTTTTAAAAGAGTGATGGGAGGGTCTTTTAAAAAAAAATTTTGTGTTTAAATTCAATTTAGTTAACATATACTGTATTATATGTTTCAGGAGTAGAATTTAGTGGTTCGTAAGTTGCATATAACACCCAGCACTTATTATATCAAGTGCCCATTTACCCTATCTCCCTATCTCCCACCTACCTCCCCCTCCAGCAACCCTCAGTTTGTTTCCTGGAGTTAAAAGTCTCTTATGATTTGCCTCCCTCTCTGTTTTCATCTTATTTAATTTTCCTTTCCTTCCCCTATGTTCATCTGTTTTATTTCTTAAATTCCACATAAGTGAAATCATATGGTATTTGCCTTTCTCAGACTGGCTTATTTTGCTTAGCATAATACCTTCTAGTTCCATCCATGTTGTTGCAAATGGCAAGATTTCATTCTTTTTGATGGCTGCATAGTATTTCATTACATATATATACCACTTCTTTATCCATTCATCTGTCAATGGACCCCTAGGCTCTTTCCATATTTTGGCTATTGTGGACACCGCTGCTATGAACATTAGGGTGCATGTGCCCCTTTGTATCTTTTGGATAAATACCTCATAGTGGAACTGCTGGGCAGCTCTATTTTTAACTTTTTGAGGAACCTCCATACTATCTTCCAGAGTGGCTGCACCAGTTTGCATTCCCACCAACAATGTAAGAGGGTTCTCCTTTCTATGGGTGAGTCTTTTTTAGTAAGATTTTGACTTCAGTCCATACTTGTCAAAAAATTGGAAACCAAAAGACCCAAGTGCAGGATTTTTAGTTGGGTGTATTTAGATTGGGAACGTTCCAGGGGGTACATGCTCACAAGCTGTCAGCCAAGATATAGAAATGGTGTTACATAGGACTTATTCTTAGCCTCAGGTTCACATTTTCTACTTTTTGCAGCTCATCTCCTTTAGAAGAATTTTCCCTCTTTTTTCAGAGAAGATAATGGGGAGGAGGGTTAAGTAAAATTCAAAACACTGTATTACAGTAAGTTTCTGGTTATAATGGTTGTTAGACATTATAATAGGTCAGCAGAAAAGGTAAATTTTTTTTTTTTTGAATGAGCAGATAGGTTATTTAGGGGAAGATAGTGAGAAAAAACATCTGAATGTCTTAGCATGCCTTAGCTCCCAAGAATGGTTAGATCTTGGGGCACCCGGGTGGCTCAGTGGGTTAAGCCTCTGCCTTTGGCTCAGGTTATTATCCCAGGGTTCTGGGATCAAGCCCCGCATCTGGCTCCCCCCAACCCCTCTTCTGCCTGCCTCTCTACTTGTGATCTCTTTCTGTCAAATAAATAAATGAAATCTTAAAAAAAAAAAAAAAAAAGGAATGGTTAGTTCTTTTGTTATCACCATTTTGAGATTGCTATATAGGTATTTTCTTTATAAAATATTTAGCACATCAATATCGCTTATGTACATGAAAGCATTTTCTTATTTTTGTTTCTAATTTTAATTTAATTAATTTTTAATTTTAATTTCCAGTTTCTTGCCCCCAGTATCAACCAAGTTAACTAAAGATATTACCAACTGTGAATCAATGAATAAGGAGACTCAGAAATTTCACAGAAATGCTTGGTAAATGTTTGAGAATATTTAGACCCAAAGCATCATTTTGCAACCTTAAGTATGTATAGTTTTAAACTTAAGTACTTGTCACTGGTAACTAGAAATGTGCCTGGCGCAACCACAAAATAAATACAATGTAAAAATTATTCATCTGATCATAATATACTTTTTTTTCCTACTTATATGAAAATATTAATGAGATTAATATTAAATTAATATTAATGTTAAAATTAACATTAACTTCCTTTTTAACTTGCTCACATATACACCATCTCTAGTATCCAATTTTTAAAAAATTTACATTAAAAATACATAAAAAGGCAAAAAAATAACACGAAAAAATACTTATGATCCATCACCAGATTACTAACACTACTGAGGTCCTCTGTACATCCTTCCTCAGTTCCACCCCTATTTCCCAGGGATTAAACATTGTTCTGGACATTATATTTGGTGTATCCATGTATTTCTTCATACTTTTTGTACCATGTACCTATCTCTAAGAATTCATATCATTTTACAACTTGTTTCATTAATTGGCCTTATGTTTGACTTCATATATGTATGGTACATCATTCATGAGGTAGAGATAGTGTTCACCAAGTATATTCTATGTGCTTCCCTATGTTTCTTAGCTTTTGGGCTGGAATCACTGCACAGTGAGTGGAAAGGAAGTGCACCACAGGTAGGAATAAGACAGTGAAAAGCAACATCTCTTTTTTTCCCTTCCTCGGTGAATTCTTAAGCCATATTCCAGATGGAGCAATGGGACAGTTGTAGGAACACGGAGCATCTATCACCCTGAGCCCCTGAGCGAGATGGAGCAAAGCCCATCGCCAACTCATGTTAGATACATAAAATGAACAAGAAATAACTGTCGTGCTAAGACATACACACGAGTGGGAAGATAACTGCCTTTTTGGGGTTATTAAAGCAAAACTATCAGCGGGGTAAATTCAAAGCCTTTTGAAAATACTACTATCCTATGACCGTAGATTGGTATTTATTCCCACTTGCATGAAGAAGCAAATCTTATACACTCTAGTCTTTACCTTCTTTGAAGACCCTATTGCACTAACAATACTTTCAGAGAAGGGCCAACATGTTCATGAATTCCTTCCAGTATGTTAGTTGTGTTTTCCCAACTAGATTTCAAGGTCTTTAAGAAATCATGTGCTGTCTTTTTTTGTACCTCACACTGCACCTTATAGTCTGTACATGTATGTATTAATGACTGGCTTACTGGTTGTCTGGGGAGGATGAGGCTAATATTAAATGCCTAATTGTGTAAGGTACCTTGCTTGCATTTCACCTAAGTTACCCTGATCCTTATTTCTAATAAATAGATGAGAATATTAAGGCTAAGTAACTTTCCTCTGGTCACAGGGCTAGGAAGAAGATGAAACGTGTGAGGAGGGCAGCTGAAACCAGTCTGGCTGACTTTAAAGCCCTTGCTTTTTAGTTTTTTTCACTGAACCATGCCTAGTCTAAGGCAGGAACTTTAGTAGAAAAGAAAACGGCCAACAGAAATAGTTTTTCTTTATAAGTTTTGCACAGATTAAAACATTTCTTTGGCTAATTCTCAGGACTCAAAATTGTTGGGTCTTACCTTGATCACCTCTGGAGTCTGCTGAATCAGAACTACTGAAGTAGTATCTTTGGCTTTATCACCAGTAGGACTTCTACAGACTGATAAATTGGCCTGGGAGGAAGTTGTCAAGGTTTCCTGTAGAATCTGCATCATTTCCTTTTCTTGTGATAGGCTCCCTCTGCCTGATTTGCATTCGACTAGTTCTTGAGCAAAATCTTCAATGCTTTCTAGAATTCGCAGTAAGAGGACTCGATCCTCTTCCTCTATTTTGTGTCCATTGGTTTCAATAATCCTTGTTAGACAAGAAGGGGAGACTTTTTCGGTGGGTGAAGAGACTTTAGACTTGGGCTCAAGATCTATAGGAAGCTGACCAGTCGATGGACTCTGACTATTTAGAGAGTTAGAGCTTTTACCTTTGGTAAGTGGCTCTCTTAGAGAGGTCTCCATTTTCTGTGAAAATGATTCCAAATCCATTAACAATTTATCTATCTCTTCCTGACTATTAGGATTCATAAAATCTCTGTGGTCTCCCTCTTCAATTTTAGGAACTTTTGATTTAAGGTCTTCCTCACATAGGTTAACAACTGGTTTCTCAAATATCTTACCACTTTCACTTCGCACTAAGGCAGAACATTTTTTAAGAGGAGTACCACAGTCTGAAAATTCTGCTCTATCTTCATTTACCTTTAACAACTCCTGACCGGGGCCATTCTCTGTCCTTTGTCCTTTATCTAATGCTTTCTTTCCATCTGACTCTTCTTCAATATAAAGGGTTTCCATTAGGTCACCAGAAGAAACATTTTCTAAAGAGTTTATGGTAGATTGAAGCTGGGTATCTTTTGGAGTTCTGGGATCACTTATCTCAGGGTTATATAAGGGATTTGTAGAGTTGTTTGGAGTGGATTTTACTGGGTCTGTTTTCCTAGAACTGTGTTTGTCATCTTGCAGTGCTATAGTTTGAAATTGTCCAGAGTCAGGGGCTGAGAGCTGGACAACATCTTCATATTTAGGGGGCTGTTCAGTGCCAAATACTGGGGAAAAGGGAGTCAGTTGTAATGTGGGCATATTACTGACCAGTTCTGTTAAATCTATAGCCTCATTATTTCCAGGCTGCATTAATTCAAATGGTAGCTTTTTCAGATAGGATGCTAACCTGGTCATTACATTCACATAGACAGTATCAGAGTTGGCATCGTTGCTGTTTCCTTCATTGATGCTACTCCCTGACTTTTTCTTTATGCATTGTTTTATGATATCTGTGCATTTTTTCAAATCCTCAGAGCATTTCAGCAAGATGTCCAAGCACATCTTTATGTCTGTTCCAGAAGAAAAATTATCTATTTTATGTTTTTCCAAAATCTGAGTAACCAGGTCTTCTTCAGAGAAGTTGTGAAGAAGCACTGAAGTTAGGTTTGTATCAAGCGAGTTTCTATGGGACAATGATTTTTCCTCAACTGAGGCACTCCGGAGTAAACCAAAGGATGGGGAGTTCCCATCATTGTTATAATGGCCACAGAGGAAGTCAAAATCAACCGACCTCCTATTAAATGAGTCAGACTTAACTTTTCTTCCCTTTTTGTAAGCTGCATGGTTAGAGTTCTTGAGCTTTTCAAAGGAAAATTCCTTTATTTTTCCACTGGCAAAACTGATTGCTTCTCCTGCAATGTCCTTTAAGTTACAGGTGTTCTGAAGGGCAGATCCTTTCTTGACCCTGGGTATGCCTGTTAGGACCTGCTGGTGACAGTCACCCTCAGCTGAGGAAAACCCGTTTTCATGGGGTAGAAACATAGAGCCCAGATCCGCATCTTTGAACTGAGACACAGGGATGTGTAAGAGGTCTGCACAAACACTATGATGTACCACAATGCAGTCAACTCCATGTGTAAAGGTGTGGCAGGTTCCAGTGCAATAATGTATAGCTTGCTCAAAACGCCGGTCTATCACCACACTGCTGTAGTGGTTCACAGTACTGACCACAAGTCTGTAAGTTGCTGCCATAATATCGAATCCACTCAGTGATGTGAACTGAATTTTCTAGAACTTATTTCAAGTAAATTCTCCTAACATACACTCTGCTGAAAATATACTTGATGACTAAGTTCAGTGGTTTCTTGAAAATGTAATGACCTTTCCCAAAAGAAAAACGATTTAAATTTGAGGTTTGGTAACTGTCAGGATACAGTAGCTACTGCACATGTGTGCTTGTATTAGGAAGTCTAATAATTTAATAATTGTGCTCTTTAGTTTTATTTAGTAATATGATACTGTAGGATTTTATAATATAAAATCCTCTTTTAGTTCTTCAGCACTTTTTTGATGCAGAAATTTATTGTCATGAATTTACTCTCATAAATCTTAGTTGGCAGTACAGAAGTACTGTGATAACTGAGTCCTCCAAAGAATTAAATGATCCATTTTTTGGTGAATGAGAAACCTGTAATGAAAAAAGAAAACAATTTTAAAAATATGATTTCTTAATCCCAAGAGAACCTTTTATTTCCTCTTTTGCATCCCATATACAGTTAGTCACCAAGCCTTATTCTTTGCCACATTACTGCTTATCTTTGATTCATGTCTTTATTTCATCACGGCCTATACTCCTTACTACCTGGAGTATTATTACTTCAACTCTGCCTTGTTACAACTGCCTCCCAGTTGGTATTTCTTACTCTGCCCTCCTTGCCACCTTACATGACACCAACAAACTTAGATTCAGATAGTTTTTTAACCCTCATAGTTCAAGAATTCACACTACTGATCTCTGTAGGCACCATGCATCCTACCCCCTTTAACTTATTTTCAAGCCTTTCAACATCTGTTCCCATCCACCTGCAACCTTATTTTGTGCTACTGCCCTGCACCAAACTTTTGGTTCCATCAACCTAATCTTTTCAAAGATTGACAACAAATAGTGCTTGTTCCTTATTCTACAACTTCCTCTATACTTGGAAATTATTCTCCCATCATCTTTTCTTACTAAGAGAGAGAAACAACCAACATTACTGCTTCTGATCCTATCCTCTCAGATACTACCACATGCAGAGCTTTCTCTTGTTACCAAGTGGACAGAATTTACTTCATCATCCTCTTACTTAAAAAAAAAAAAAAAAAAAAAGGATTTTAAACCATGCTTTAGTTGTTTTCTAAAAAGGTTCAATCAATCTACTCATTCAAGAAATACTGAGTGCTTACTATGTGCCAGGCACTTGTTAAGTGCTAAGGATATAGCAGTGAATAAAATAAAGTCCCTGCTCTTAAGGAGCTGATAATCTAGCTGGATAAAGAAAACCAGCATGCATGTAATCATATAACTTAGATGGTGACATGTTCTATGGAGAAAAATCAAGCAGGGTAGGGCTTCAGAAAGAATGAGAAGAACTGTGTTATAAAGGGGAGTCAGATAAGATCTCACTGACATTTGAACAGAGACCTGAAAGAATAAAGGGAACAGGCTGAGAAGGTGTTTTGGGCTAAATCATCTCAGGCATAATAACCATAGGTACAAGGGCCTTAAGGTGGGAGCACGCTCGATGTACTATAAGAAAGAGGAGGCTGATATGACAGGAACAGAGAAAGCAAGTTGGGTAGTGTGGGAGGTGAGGTCAGAAAGGAAAGGTAGGAGATTAAATCATGTAGGATCTGTAGACTTATGATGAATTTGGCTTTATCCTGAGTGAGCTGGGAAACAACTGATGGCTACTGAGCAGAGGAATGATATGATCAGACTTACATTTTAAATTGGTAATTCTGGCTGCTATGTTCAGAAGAGACTGTGAGGGAGCAAGATAAAAAGCAGAGAAGCAAATGAGGGGCTACTGCAATAAATCAGGCAAGAAGGCTTGGGGGCTTGGACCAGGAGAGTTATAGTGGAGAAGTTTAGATACTGTATATATATCAAAGGTAGAGCTAGTAGGATTTGCTGAAGGACAGATGTATGATACTAACTCAAGAATGATGAAGTAAAGCAATGAAAGGGAGATGATGACTGAAAAGGAGAGCATCAATTCCACTATGCCATCGATAGAAGTGGCATTTTAACCAGTAAAAATCTTTACCCCCTTAATGAGAAATAGAACTTTATTGTTTTCATTTTTTAAATTAACATATAATGTATTATTTGTTTCAGGGCTACAGGTCTGTGATTCATCAGTCTTACACTTCACAGCGCTCACCATAGTACATACCCTCTCCAATGTCCATCACCCAGCCACCCCATCCCTCCCACCCACTCCCCTCCAGCAACCCTCAGTTTGTTTCCTGAGTTTTAATCTCAGGTGTCTCTTATGATTTGTCTCCCTCTCTGGTTTCGTCTTGTTTCATTTTTCCCTCCCTTTCCCTATGATCCTCTGTCTTGTTTCTCTAATTATTGTTTTCATTTTCATTTCTTCAGTCCTAGAAAACTTTTTTGCTTGTTGTGTTTCTTCTCTGGTAAATTATCTCTTCACATCTTTTGCTCACTTAGGTATTAGAGATTTAATGACTACAGATAAAATTAATTCATGAAGAACCCTTTCATTTGTTGAATTCTTATGCCAGAGTACCTTTCCTGGACCTCTGGATCCAATGATTACTTTGTTTTTATGCCAGTCTTACACTATTGTAATTACTGTTGTCTTATTAAGTTTTACTATCTGGTTTTGCTTCCCATATCCCTAATTATGATTAGAACTCCAAATGTTCTTTGATGGTCTTCTAGATAAATTTTTGAATAGTTAAATTTTAAGAAAAATGTTATTAGAATTTGATTCTAATTGCAAGAAACTTATGAATTATTTTTGAAAAAACAGTGATACCATTATAATACCCGATTTTCTACCCAGGAAGATATAAATATTAATTCCAATATTTATTTCTCTCTTTGTGGTTTTCCTCAGTAGGTCACCCCCTCCCCCATTCTTCTTGTCCTTCAATGCCTAACTTTGTTACTAATATGAATAGGTCTGGAGCTACTGTGTCATGCTCCACTTCCTCACCTTCAAATCTCAGATGTTGGCTCATATAAAACTATAAAACTAGATCTCATGAAGAATGAAGCTGAAGCAGAAAGAAGTTCCATACTAAAGGAAGTGCCCAGGGGTGCCTGGGTGGCTCAGTCATTAAATATCTGCCTTCAGCTCAGGTCATAATCTCAGGGTCTTGGGATTGAGCCCCACCACCGGGCTCCTTGCTCAGTGAGAAGCCTGCTTCTCTCTCTCCCACTCTCCCTGCTGTGTTCCATCTCTCGCTGTGTCTCTATCAAATAAATAAAATCTTAAAAAAAATAAAGGAAGTGCCCAGTAATTCTTAACTGAAAATGGAAACAAGCCAAAGAGGAAGTAGGTGTTACAGGACAAAATATTAGAACATGGCAATAGAAGAATTACCTTTCCAAAAGATGCACAAAAGACAGGGAAGAAATAGCACCAAACATGAAAAACTATAATACCTTTTCAGAAATTCAAGATTTTGAAAGAGCTTTCAGTAAGGATAAAAGAAAAATAAAGGATATTAGTAAGAAAGTATATCAGGATAGCTATGTGAGAGACAATAGGGCTATATCCTAGTACAGTTGGTAATTTAGGTGATAAAACGGGTGCAAAGGCAAAATACATGAGTGCTAGAAAATTTAAATAATTGATGCCTATGAAAACACGTGATAAATTCCTAAATTAACATAAAGACTATTTTATTTCTCTGAAATTTGAGAAATGAAAGACGTATTTCTCTAAGGGTGGATATAACGAAAACCAGCCAATTTATAAAATAACATGACAGATAATACAAGTCTTCATGTGATATTAGAATTCAAAATAGTCAAGGAAGAAGAGAGAACACGGGCCAAAGACAGACATGTGCTTTTAGACAAGCGCTACCCTATAAAACATGCTATGTTGATGGAATTATTCTATACGTGTTCTGATATGGATGCCATTAGCCATATGGGGCTACTGAGCCCTTTAAATGTGGCTAGTGTAATGGAAGAGCTGAATTTTAATTTTATTAAAAAATTTAATTTTGTAATTATTTATTTTAGATTCACATAGAAGTTGCAAAAGTAGTACAGAGAGCTCCTGTGTACTCTTCCCCCAGTTTCTTCCAAAGATAACATCCTACATCACCATAGTACAGTGAGCAAAACCAGGAAATTGACATTGGTACTATTCAGATCTCACCAGTTTTACTTACACTTACTCCTTCTCTCCTCCCTTCCTTCCACAATAAATACCACCACAATCAGGATACAGAACTGTCCCATTACCCCCAAGAGCCCCTTCTATTACCCTATGACTTTATATATATACTGTGACTATAAAGTCACAGTCACCCCAATCCTAACCTTGACAATCATGGATCTATTTTCCATCATTATAGTTTTGTTATTTCAAAAATGTTTCATGCATGGAATCATAAAGTATATAAACTTTTAATAATTTATTCTCTCAGTTAACAGAATGATTTTGAGTCATTCACTTCACACATGTACCAACAGTTCATTCCTTTTTATTGCTGAGTTGTATTCCATTGTGTAGATATATTACAGTTTGTTCACACATTCATTCATTCAAGGATATTTATGTTGTCTCTATTTACAAATAAAGCTGCTGTGAATACTAGTGCACAAATTTTTGTGTGGACATGGTTTTCATTTCTCCAGCATAAATGTAAGTGTGACTGTAGGGTTGCATGTTAAGTATATGTGCATACATATATGTATGTATATACATACATACACACACATATATACATACATATGTATGTATGCACATAAATCTTAAAATATATATATATATATATATATATATATATTTCAAGATTTTATTTATTTGAGAGACAGAGAGTATGAGTGGGGGGAGGGGCAGAGGAGAGCTAAAGAGGGACAAGCAGACTCCCCATCGGGTGGGGATCCCCATGAAGAGCTTAATCCCAGGACCCCGAGAACCTGAGCCAAAGTCAGACACTTAATTGACTGAGCCACCCAGGCATCCTTTAAGTATATCTTTATAAGAAACTGCCAGACTGTTTACCTGCATGACTACACCATTTTACATTCCCATCAGTACAAGAGTTATGATTGGTTCCACATCCTCTTTAGCATTTGGCATTGTCACTATTTTCTATTTTAGCCATTCTAATAGGTGTGTGATGTTATCTCACTATGGTTTTAACTTATATTTTCTTAACGGCTAATGATGTTGAACATCTTTTCCTGTGCTTACTGACCAGCCCCATATCTTCTTTGGAGAAGTGCTGTTTAAATTTTTTGCCTGTTCTAATTAATTAGTTATAACTTAAAAAGCCACATGTGGCTAGTAGCCACCATATTAAACAGTGCAGTTCCAGATAATAGGAATGTAGCTTTCAGAAATGCTAACACTTTAAAAGAAAACATGAAGAAAAAAAAAGAAGATATGGCAAAAAGGAAGATTGATAGGTTTTAAAAATGCAATTTGATGAAT